TGACATTTTTAAACTAACTATTATATTTTTTAAACTTGCAACATTTTTTTACCAAACATGTTTTTTATATTTTTGCTTCCAAAAACCTTATAACAAATGGATGTTACAAAATATACTTTCAATTACTATTCAAAACATTCTATAACAAAACATTTATTTTACTTCGAATTAAAACAAAATTGCAACAACGAAACGCTTATCAAATAGGCTCTTATTGACACACAAAAGTCTTTTTAAATTAGTTTAGTTTGAGAGATTGTGAAAATAAAAAATAAAAAATTTGTGGAAAAAAAAAAAAAAAAAAAAACCGTATGTGTTATATATATATATATATATATATATATATATATATATATACACATACAATTATTGGAAGCTACCATCCAAAAAAATTTATTCGAAGCCAAACGACCCTATCGACAACCATTTTAAAGTAAAATTGAAAATCGAAGTGCCCAATAAACCACGGCACGTTGCACTAGTGTAATTGAGAACACAATAATGAATCAACGAAAAATGAAAAAAAGTGTAGTGATCCATTCAATTGAAGCTGAAGGCATCGACCTCATCACATGCATACCCACCAACCGACTTCAAGAGCAATCACTTCATTCTGACAGGCTCACCACTAGGAAATGAAGTGAGCAGAATTTGGTCATTCTCTACTCCCTCCCTTACAAAATGTGTCCACTTTTTTATTTTTATTGTCTTGAAATAATTATTTTAATTAAAAAATTAATATAGTATTATTAATTTTTTTTACCAAAGGGTCTTTGAAGTTTGGCTGAGAGAGAGAGAAAGAGAAGGGGGGGGGGGGGGGGGGGGGGTTTCGAGCGTAAATAAAAGAGTTTGTGTTTGCTTTATATTTTGAAAAAAGAATTAGTATTATATATATTTTTAATATTTTTAATTTACCCTGCAATTATAAAAACGTTTAAAACGTATGTGAATTAATCGTAAAAGAGTATATTTGAAAATTTATTCCCTATCACTAAAAAAAAAATCATTAAAAACTATATTATTAAAATGTTAGGTTCCCAAAAAAGTATTAGGGATATTAACTATTTTCAACCCAGGAGGTTGTTGAGTTTCATCATAGAGCGGAAACATCATCATATCACATTAATACAAGCATACATATATATACACAATAATATACATCCACGCACAATACTATATTTTATATGGTTCAACTAATTAATTTTAGGGCTACATTCATGGAGAGAGATATTTTACTAATATGTATGAAGGAAATATACAACTAAATGTCAAAACCTCACTTACTCACTCACTCATCATCTCTCTTTACCATTCGAAAGGGGAAAAAATAGTATCATTTTTTTAATATTCTTATTTTACCCTGCTTACCTTGAAGTTATAAAAATATTTAAAGTTTATGTGAACACACCATAAAAGGGTATATTTGAAAATTCATTTCCTACATCTGTAATAAAAAAATATTAAAAACTATATTCTTAAAAAGTTAGGTTCCCAAAAAGATGTTATGGATATTAATTTCCTCTAATGCACTCAACTGACGGATGTTGTTAAGAGTCAAATTCCACTTTCATCATACATAGAGGAAGCACCATCACATTATATGAATATGTACAATAATATTCATCCACGTACAGCACAATAATTTACATGATTCAACTAACTTTAAGGTTACGTTCATGGAGAAAGAGATTCACTATTATGTATCTAGAGAATATACAACCAAATGTAAAAATCTCACTTACTCACTCATCATCTCTCTTTACCATTCGAAAAAATAATAATGATACCATTTTTTTAATACTCTTAATTTACCCTGCTTACTTTGAAGTTATAAAAACATTTAAAGTTTATGTGAGCACACCATAAAAGGATATATTTGAAAATTCATTAGTAAAAAACATTAAAAACTATAATCTTAAAAAGTTAGCCCAAAAAGGTGTTAAGGATATTAACTCCCTCCAACCCACTCAATTGTAGGATGTTGTTGAGAGTTAAATTTCTACTTCATCATACACCTTAAAAGCATCATCACATCACATTAACACAAACATATATGAATAAAAATAGTATGCATCAATGCATAACACAGTATTTTACATAATTCAACCAACTCTAGGGCTACGTTCATGGAGAGAGAGATTTCACATAATGTATTATGAGAATATTCAACCAAATATAAAACCCCACTCACTCACTCACTCATCTCTCCATACCATTCGAAAATTATATATAATTAAGAATATTAAAAAATGGTACTATATATATATATATATATATAGTACCATTTTTTAATATTCTTAATTACCCTGCTTACCTTAAAGTTATAAGAACATTTTAAAGTTTATGCAAACTCACCATAAAAGGGTATATTTGAAAATTCATTCCCTACCACTATAATAAAAATATAAAAAAAAAAATTAAAAATTATATTTTTAAAAAGTTTGGTTCCCAAAAAGGTGTTAGGGATATTAACTCCCTCCAACTCACTCACTGTGGGATGTTGTTGAGAGATCTTTCATTATACATAGTAGAAGAATCATCACATCACATTAACACAAGCATACATGAATAACAATAATACACATTTACGCACAACACATTATTTTATATGGTTCAACCAACTCTAGGACAATGTTAAATCATGGAGAAAGAGATTTCACTATTATGTATAAGAGAATATACAACCAAATGTCAAAACTCCACTCACTCATTCATCATCTCTTTTGAGGCTACATCTATACACTCGAAAATTACATACAAGTACTCTCCCCTCTCCTCAACACTCACCCTTGTCTCCTTACATCTTCTTTCTTGACCTCTTACACCCATCTTTATTGAAAGAGTCTTCAAACACAATTCCTTGTTGGACAAGAATGCTCTAACTTGCCTATAATGAGTTATCATACCAGACCTCAACTCTAAAATAACAGCCTAAAGCACCACACATTTCTTCCCAAATCTTCAGCCTCTTTCATAAGTTTTTTGACTTCCAAAACGAATTAGAAACTCCAATTGAACTGGTTCTAAATAACTTAAACCTGTTCATTTTTGACAGAACACTATTCGTATACCAAATTTGTGTTAGAGTGTTTCTCAATTTCATCATAGTGCTTTATTTGAGGTGGGAAAATATTTAGTTAAGGTGGAGCTATGAAAAGATCCTTATTCAAGGTGGAGCACGTACATGAAGACATATTTTGATCACGTGTTAATTACGTGAATAATTGGGGTGTTCAAAATTGCGGACTTTGGCAACTGCCAAAGTTGAATCGGTTCAACTAGGGTTATACCGGTTCAATTTGGACAGCCAATTATTGGAAACTGCAACAAATAGTTTCCTAATTGGTTAAAAGACTGGAAAAAAGTGAAAGATTTGGGGAAGAGGTTGTACATCTATTTTAGAGTTGGAAACAATATGGTAACTGGTGTTGGAGATTAATGTGGTAACTGCTTGTAGGCAAATTAATCCTAGTTTGAAATCTCTATAAATAGATATGAGTATGACAGAGAAAATTGTAGAGAGAAAAAGAGAGTTGAGATTGTGAGAGAGAGAATAGTGTGTAATCAAGTTTTTGAAGTAAAATTAGTCATTCTTCGCCCGTGGACTAGGCAATTTGCCAAACCACATAAATCTCATTTTTTGCTTATGTGTGATTTTTTTTATCTGTTATATTCGCCAATTGTGTGTGTGAAACCTTAACAATTTGAGCCACAAAACTCAACAAATTAAAGGAACATTTTTTTGTGGGACAAAAGGAATAAAAAAGTAATGGATAGCGCGCTTATCTTCTAACCGAAAAGATTAAACCATTGAGTAGAATTGCATACTCATTAATATTAATTTATATCTATTATTATGTCTATGCAGGTGGATGTGAGACAAGAACACACCTCTAACGAGAAATTATTAAATAGTCCTGAACCATTTGACACTTGATGGACTAATTTAATGAAAACTAATGTTTAGAATTCTTTGTAATATATTAATACACTCTTATGGTGCCATTTTCTCAATCAGATTATCTGAATGGAACTGGTCCACCAAGTGTCAATGGTTCAGGACTTCTAATAATTTCTCCACCTCTAACACTTAGCAATATCAAATTCTCTAAAATCCTATTGCATCTCTTGCATGAGAGACTAAAAATACGCATAACGTGCGCTAAAACATACGTGAAAAATATTTTGCATCCAAACAAACGGAGCCTAATACTCAACTTTTAAGATTACAGCTTTCAGTCTTAGATATTCTATATATAGAGGGTGACTAATATATAAATTCACAAATTCTTGTAATTTTCAATTTTCTCTGGAATTGATGAGTGTTTTATATGACTATAGTGCCACTAGATGAACTCCAAAATTGTTGGGATTTTGGCAGAATTTCATTGGTTGAATGATACAATTATGATAGTCAACTGTTTGGTCATGTGGATGACTTAATGTGCAAGTTAAGGGTTTAATAAGCAAACTTTATGGGAAAAAATTGATAAGGAATGAATTTATTTGTGCCAGCAATAAGTCGACTATCCAAAGGCAACAACTTTGTCCTATAAATTAGACAATGAGACGCAACAAAAGAAGCATGATCTTTCGGTGATCCATGTGAGATCCTTTAGAGAGAGATTCTAATCAAGAGGGTAGAGTCAGAATAAAATTATTGGAAAATTTTCTTGAGAGTGTTCGGTGAGCTTTTCTTCGTTTGGTGGGTGACGTTTGATTGTGAGAAGAGTGATTATCTCCTAGAAGAACCAAAACGTTCTTCAATTTGTAATCTTCTTCCATGTAGTGATACCATCATCATCATCTATTGACGTAAACTCTATTTGTGAGGGTGAACCACGTATAAGTCTTGTCTTGTGGTGTATTTTTTTTCATTTTTATTCATGTATTTCTGTTATAGGATTTGTCATTATTGTGTGTATATTTGTTTGGATTTCTGTTTCTGCCCAACACATTGGTATTAGGAGCTTCCGCTGTGCCCAACCTGCTACATTGCCTAACATCAAGTGTGTTTGCCTAAGAAATTAATTAGCTGCACAAAGAGTGTTTCATAACCCCAAAAAAAAAAAAAAAATACAGATCTTCAACATTTCTTCACTTTTATCATTGCACTAACGGAGATTGAAATTGAAGTGCTACTATTCTTGAAACTCTGAAACTTAGTACATTCAATGGTTTCATGTAATATCATTGTATTCAATCAATGTTTGTGGTCATGTATCTGCAAAGAAATGGTATTCTGTAACATTGTTAATAATGGATCTGAAAGCAGATACTGTAGTTGCTACAGCAAGGAGAGAAAACAAGACAATGATTATCCAATGCCACATTTTTTTCTCTATTCTCGCCATCTTTCCCTTAACCTGTGAAGTGAGAAATAAACACATGTTAAGTTCCGTCTTTTCTATTTCTTCTAAACTCTACGTGTAGTTCAGTTTTATGAGAACAAAGAAAACTGTATTAAAACTCTGATTTGTTCAGTTTTTTGAAAACAATTTTCTGAAAACTTGGTTATAAAAAAGTCTATTTTCAAATAAATATTTTTTATACTTTTTTGCAAAAACAGTTTTATGATTTTGGAGATCTTGAGAACTACCTTCTGAAAACTAAACCAAGTAATTAAGTCCTTGTTTGGTTGTAGTTTTATGAAAATTCAATAAAAAAAAAGTGGGTTTACCAGTTTTTGTTTTCTGAATTCTTACAAACTGTTTTCAGAAAACTAAACTGAACTTACTTTATGTTTTCACAATGCAACATGATGTTGAATTACCTGAAGGAAGATCATGCTTGGGAACATGAAGGTGAGAGGCACAAGTGTGAATGATCCAAACAAGTTCACGAAATCTCCCATGAACGGAAATGTTGCCGTCACCAGTGTATTTCCCGACAAGAGGAGTGCTCTCACGTAGAATAATCGTTTGATGTTTTCTCTTGAATGCATGCTCTTACCAAGTTTTAGGAACTTAGTATCAAGTGCCTCGTGAATTGGTGCTACAAACATCTGTAGTACATATACAAGTAAATACAAGAAAAGAAAATCATAATAGTATTAATTAGTCTCTTTAAATTGCAATACTAGTCTCAATGAAAATTACTAAATAAGAACTATAGGTTTGTTTCTCAAATGATGGTTATTGGACCATAAGGTTTAGTATTGCATACTCAAAACTCTTTTAGTAATGTTTAGCAGTGTACCTTAATGCCATGTTTGGGAGTGGACCTGCACCTTGAATTTAGAATTGAACAAAATCTAGTTCAAAGTTTAAACTGAATTTTATCTAATTCCAAAACTCTGATTCGATACATCCAAACGTAACATAAGAAATTCTACTTTGTTTTTGGAAAGAATAAAACAGATTTTAAAAAATAAGCTGCTTTAAGCATTTTCTTTACTCTCTCATTCTTACAATTGGATGAACCAACGGGCAGTGGCTTAGCGGTATCAACTTTTTACTTTCCAAAGGGAATTCAGGGGTTCAAATCTCAAAGGAGACAAGTGTGTGTAAATACCAAACTAAAAAAAAACAATTGGATGAACAGATTCTTGTCTTGGTAGGAGTATATGAGCTAGATAGAAAGACGGCCTGTGGGCCGGCATTTTTTTGGGCCGATTCTCTAGCAAAGACTAATTTCGGCCCATACCTCTGGGTCCTTAAGGCCGGGCTTATGCTATCTCATTCAAAGCTCAATCGGACCTTCTGACTAGACCTTAATGGGCGACTTTAGACCAGCCCAGCACAAAAATAAAGAAATTATTGGGCATATGGAAGTGCAGTGAGTATTCATTGTACAACAACGTTATATTATTACGATATTCGAACCCCCAACATTGAAAACATTTATATACTGAAAAAAAATCTCGAAAGTATTTTACACGTGAAAAGTGTCAAACTTGGAACAAACCACGTTGATACAAGCCTTTTTTTATATTTCTCCATCAAACATGCTCTCACATTCATCAAGGCTATGGCATGAAACTAGGCACCTTTCGTGTAATTAGATCCAACCAACCCAACATCAAATATATATGTATCTAATAATCTAAACGCATGTGTGTATCTTTTTATTGGCCACAAAATAATTAATAAATTAGATCCACCCATTTTACACCTGGCTTTGAATTCGAAAGTCATACGATTCATACAAATTTTATATGAGAGGAAAGTTAATGTCAATCCTAGTCATATAAAAATAATTGAAATTGTCTAACTTTCAAACTCTAAATTATTTATAAAAATTATTAATAAATAAAAACTTACATGTTGGGAGATTATAGATTGGACAAAGACTGCTAAGTTAACGAGGACTTTGATCCATTTGGGCCCACCTAACTCTTTGGGCAGGTAGTCTGATACCGTTGAACCATAGGCCCAATATCCTGCTACACTCACACCATAATAAACTGCAAGCCCCACCGTGTATTGTACATATAATGCATTCCTCATGTTCACAGTTGCAGGACTGCGTAGAGTTGACTGCATGCACATAATAGAAACAAAATTACTATAACATATTATATTGATTGTACATATATATATATATATAGATATATGTATATGTATATGTATATGTATATGAAATTTATGTTCACATATTATCTATATATATTGCTCTTAATTACCTGTATCTCCAATAGTATACCAGAGGTGTTGCAAACTATGATAGCTGAAATTGCACCAAATGCATTGAATACTTTGCCCACTTTGCTTCCTCTGATCTCATAATCTCTGTTTTCTTGGGATTTTCCTTCAAAAAAAGAAATTTGAATATATTGTGCGTTGATCAATCAACAATGTAACACTCGATGACGCAACAATTTTAAATTATTAATGCAATAATTACGTAATAATGGTGTAGTATTGCAACACAACGTGATTTAACGTGTTAAATTCTTTGACATTTAAGTACTGACATGGTAAAATTGATAATGATATTATGGGCAATATATAATGAAAATAATCAAAATGGCAGGCTTGAAAGCTCAGTATACCTACCATCTTTTAGTAAAACAACCAAAAGGATGACAATGTAAGAGAAGGTGAGGACAGTAGAGGCTCCCAACCACCTTCTCATTGCCGAAATCGTCGGAACCAGAAATGAGAACATGAAATAGGTCACTCCTGTTATGGTGATGAAATATTGGAGTCTTATGGGATTGTCACTCAACTCTGCATTGATTTCCTGTTTGCATTGAGAAAAAAATTAAAAAATTTAAAATCTACTATTAATTGATCATATATATAAACAAGAATAAACCATGACCTAATTTTGATTATATATATCTTACTCATCATACGTACCTTTAGTGCTTTCCCTCCAAGAAGTATGAATCCCATGTTCCCAAGAAGAAGGGTCAAGAATTGGAAAACCCATGTGATATAAAACATTTCTCTTCCTTCACAAGAAAATTATATATATATATATATATATATATATATATATATATATATATATCAGTGACTATAGTATATACATACATATATATGTGGTGGATGTGGCTGTGAGAAGCTCACCATAAAGAAAGCCCATGAGGTCTCTGTATCTGATGAATCTTTGGCCATTGATGAAGTGAAATCCAGCCAAGAGCCAGTTAGCATAGGCAGCCAAGAACCCAACAACAAACAAGCATATGATACCCCATGTCCAACCCAGAGGCGCCAACATGAGATTCGAAAAGCTCAATATGTATCCACAGTTGAAGCCTGTTACTAGCAGCAAACCTACTTGTTGCCATGAATCTGCAAGTTTACATCAAAGTCACTTTCCGAAAGCCAAAATCCAAGAAAATCCAAATGGAGTAAGGGCTTGCTAAGTTCAATTTTCTGTTTTTCGAGAATTGAAAATAAAAAAAGTACAAAAATCTGTTTAGTCGAATAGTTTCTAAAACAGTTTTCAGTTTTTTGAGTTATGAACGAAGCAGCCCAAATCTCTTTCTCTCTCTATATATATTATAATTATGAATAACATAAGATGAATATTGATGGTGTTGTTGAGGAAGAGAGAAGAAACAGACCATGGCCAATGGTGTGAGCAGAAGTGAGGACATGTTCATCATGAATTTGACCAGCTTTTGCTGGACCTGGTTCATCAACACTTGGAGCTTCTATGTTGTTGTTGTTGATCTTTCCTTGTATTTCCATGTCTAATTGAGAGACATGTAGATCTCAGAGACAAACAAGGGCTTTTATTGATGAATAAATCATGAAGAGATCTAGATCATGGTAGTGGCAATCAACTACCACTTGAGCCCCTTTAAAAAAGTGGTGAAGATAGAGATTGCAATATCTCTGGTTGGAGAGGTCATTGGATATAGATCTTGGCGTGTCTAAGTTTGGACTTTGGACTGAGAGTTGATTTCAAATCATGGTGTGAATGGTTGCGCAATGTGGACCCCACTGTAGAATGAAAGCATGTGAATCCTCTTAAATTTTGGATGTATATTGATACTAAATATTGTTTTCTTGTCCAGCCAAAGATTGCGTGTGAAACGCCTCCGCAGGCCAAGCGGTAGGCTACTTGGGATGGTAACATTGCGATTTTGGACAGGTGAATTCTCCTCGCCTCTGCAATCATTTACAAACTCTCGCTCTGTTTTTGTTCAAAATTATCTAAACGGATCTTTTTATTCCATTTTTGTCCTATTTAACTTTTTCACTCTGGCGAACACCTGTCCCACCTCGTTTAGTTTTAGAATTTCTCTCCCTTTTAAATTTTTTTTCCTCAAATACAATTATATAACTATTAAAAAAATTCATAAAAATGAATAATCAATAATTAAACATAAAATTCAAAGGTACTAGCGTTCTTAATTCCATAATCTCTTCGCGTTATGATACTAACCAATCCATCGAAATTATTAGGGCTTAACCAAATCAGCAGCGTTCTTAATTCGTAGAGCTCTGTTGCTCTCTAGAACGGTTGGCAAATTGAGTAAATAGGATCACAAGTTTCTAAAGCTAACTATATATACTAATAAAATAAGGATAATTTAGTAATTTATCTATCTAGACAGGACGGAATGACCTTCACCCCCACTCTCTCGCCCTCTCGCCCGTCACGAATCCGCACGAATTTTCATTAATAAAAACTATTTTTACCCAAATAAATTAAACATTTCCCCAAAATTACTATAAACGAGACGAGTACCGATACTCGCGGAACAAATTTTTTTTGAATGGTACTTGCGGAGCAAATTGTCATCCCTAACACTACTGCCTATTATCTCTTAGAGCTATTTTTGTAGCCTTGGCTTTATCATAAATATAAGAAAAAAGAAAGAAAGAATGCGACAGAGGGGAGTGATTCATGACTCTTGGATGCATTGAGAATTTTACTTCCACGCACATATTTAAAAGGGTCAAGTCACTCAACAAATATCTTTCATTGTTGTATTCAAATATGACCACTATTTTTATTTCATGAGAAAGGCACTCTTGATGACTCTCATTGAAGTGAATTTTCTCTTGTATTAGTTTTTTAGTGAAATAAATAATCACGGGAAATTAAATTATTTTTTTAGTACTGCCACGCTTTTCTATACATGACAACGATCAGAGAGAAGAAAAGGATGAACATGTTTTAGGAATGCTTTACTTATATTAGATTTTTATTTATTTTATTTTTTGGGAAAGGTAAAAAAAAATTATTAAGTTTATCATTGAAGAATCAAGAACCTTGCTCTAGGTCATTAACTGTTACATCTTGGTTTATTTTTTACATCTTCAAATATAATTCAGTGATATTTTTCGCATTTCAAAATAGTGAGTTCAAGTTTCTAAAGAGATGTGGTGTATGTAAGTTTATTTTCCTCCAAATGTAACTCTCTAAAAAAATAAACAAAAATAAAAATCACATTTCTTTTTCCCTTTATGGAAAAGTTTCAGGAAATTTTTTTTCTTTAGACTATTAAGAAATTTAGTTATGAAAAGAAAAAGGAGAAATAATACTTGCAGTCAAGTTTTAAGACCTGATATTTTACTTATTAAAAGAAAAAGGGAACAATTCCTTCAAAAATACACTCATCAGTAATAATCTCAAAAGGCATTTTTACCCTCGATTTTTAAAGGTTGATGTTGATGGTAGTTCTTGAAGATGAGGAGATTATTTCATGTATGTCAAGAATGCTGAAGTTAGTGTCCAAGGGGGAACTCAAGCAACACTTGAGATTCTTCTTTGAGATGGAGATAGGGAAGGCAAAAATTAATACCCAAGTAACTCGAGCTCGGGGGTAGGTGGTCTGTCTTTTACTGACTGATCATCCCCATTATTTATACTAGTTTCTTCGGTTAAGGACTTCTGGTTACAAGGACGGTTTTTCTTCAGTTAAGGACTTCTGGTTACAGGGACGGTTCCTCATTTTACCTGTAGGTTCAAAGACCATGCCTCTATCGGATGGGACACCGATTGGTGGCCAGAGGCGATTATTATCTTGGTTCGAGGGGTCACCTCCTACATTAAATGCGGGTCATGTCGGTGGAATGGTGCATTTAATGCACCATCTACCTTCTGATGTGAGCTCAGTCTTGGGTAGCGATTGTCCTCTCCCTCTCATGCTGACCTTTCCTTGAGGCATCACCTTAGGTTCCAGCCACCTGTCCACTATACCTCAAATTCCCGATGCCAGAAATAGGGGAGAGAGGTCCCTTAGGATTCTGCCTTCTAGACTCTTTAAGACCACTGTCCTCACTCTACATTCAGAGTTGCGTAAACAGGCGGACTCGAGAGGAGATGTCCCTTTTTCGGATTGAAGCTCTGCCTGTAGGAGAGAGTTTCGAACTTAGTATAAACGGCAGTACCCATCCTACTGGAGAAGGGTACCTCCATAGAGGAGAGAAGGGTGGCGACCCCTTCAACAGAGGGGGGTTCACTCTAAACTTGCCCTTCCAGAAAGAAGAGCCTGTTCTTAGCAACCGAGGAGGGGAAGGTCACTGAAATAATGTGAAGAAATTCATAAGTATAACGAAAAGTTAAAACTTGACATGGAAGACAACCAGAGCACTTATTGTGAAGAGAAGAAGAATAATATATACCTAGCTTCCCGAATTTGCGAGGAATAGGGAGTTTACTTGACTGGGATACAAACTAGTTCCCCTTAACAATTATCATCCACTTCTTCTCGGAGGAAGGAAGGTCCGTACATATCCTCTGCTGCAGAAAAGAGGTAAAATAAAAACGACCAGGCTCGGTCTCATACTTAGAGATGGTATAAGTGATCAGCAGGTTAGCAAGAGTCAAATCAAGACTCTCTAGCCTTCGGCGAACCAAGAGAGCCGAGACTATTCGAAAAAAGTTAGGGTTCACTTGAAGGGGGGCAATACCTAACTTATTAAAGACAAGATGATAAAAAGGGTGAAGAGGGAACTGAAGAGCGTTAAGATGCCCAACAGAGAAAAGTAACTCATTCTCTCTAAAACCCTCCACTGAACTAAAATCAGTCATGTTCGGATATTCAGTAATTTCTACCCCCTCAGGGATATCAAATTCTTCCATTCTCAAATCAATGGAGAACTTGATACGTCGAATAGACAAAATTGTCTCTCTCTCTTCTTTAGTGAAGATGTTATTCGACCCAGAAGTGGATATCTCAGCCTGAATTAGGGAATCATCAAACTGAATGGTCGAATCGTTTACAAGTTCAAGAGGTTTAGAAACCCTAAGTGGAGGAACCCTAATGAGAATGGGGGAAGACGAAGGCGTGGATTCAGAATCTACAATCTCTACATGGTCATGAGTAGTTGAAGTACTTATGATACAAGATCGAAAAGAAGTTGAAGAACTAACCTAGTGATACGACAAAGTGAAGAGTGTAGTGAACGAAATGAGCACAATGAAGGCAAAAACGAATCTTGAGGAAGCTCTTGAGTTAGAATGGCAATAAACACACCTTGAAACGCCTCTTACAAAAGTGGAAACCGTGCAACTTCAATTCTCTTTTAATTAGGAGTCGTAGCCCAATTAAAGAGGAAATTGGGGACAAAGTGTGAGATACCCCTCGAATCCGAGATATGAGTTGATCAGTGTAATGGGTATGATTATATATATATATATATATATATATATATATATATTAAAGTTATAAATATATATTTTTTAAAAGCAAGTGGGCCCCACCAATATATTAAAAACATCACAAAGGCCATAAGGCCATTACATGACCCAACTATTTTTTTTTTTTTTCTCTCTCTCTCTCTCTGCGCATCTCTTTTCCAGTAGCTTCATCTTTCTTTTCCTTTTTTTTTTTTCTTTTTCCTACAAGATTCAAGTTTCAATTAATCTCCAATCTTTTGGAGTTTTTGGGAGCCATTTGCTGCAAAACGGAGAACACGGCGAGATCTTCAAGTGGGTGTAAACAATTTCAGTTTTGGTGCACTCTAGGGAGTTCGAAATTCTAGGGTTCTTGGGCTCAAATTGGTGGTTTTCATCAATTTGAGGTAGGGATATTCTAATCTACAACTTCTTGGGTCTTTTGTGAATTTTTCTCCTTAAATTTGATCTTAAGCATGCTAATTTTTGATTATCTAGTTTGTTGTTGTTATAGTTATGTGTAATCAAAATGATAAATGTGTTTTATGTGTACTTGAGTTCATATATATGTCTATTTTCATTTCGGTAAATGAGCATGCTTAGTGTTGATATGTTGTATGTTCTACGATTATTTATTTATTACTTTGAAAAATTGATGCTATGGTTATAAATAAATAAAATGAATGAATGTTTAGAAATTCTTATTAAATTGTGATGATGATGTAAATGGAATGTATGAAAGCCTATAGTTGAATTGATGATTAGAAGTATGGAGCATTCATGCATCCATTGGGAAAAAAAGAGGGAAAAATGTTTTTAAATAAATGAAATCATTTTTGGAAAAAAATATTTTCAAAGGTGTTTGCGAAAACCGGACGCCTAGGAGGCGCCTAGTGGTCCGTGTTGTTAGTGTAGTCTAGAAGGGAGTATGGTTGAGCTAACTAGGCCGGATGCGACGCCTTGGAGGTGCCTTGTGGTCGTGGATAGTTAGTCAACCCTCCATTCGTGACGCCTTGGAGGTGCCTTGGGTCGGATTACACTAACGGTTTGGTTGTTGAAATGGAATTGTTTAGGAAATGGGGAGCGACATTTGCATAACATTACACTTCATGGAATTTTAGTAAATCTGTGATTAGTTGACATTTGCTACATATTTGTTGATGTGGTTGAGAATATGTATTTCCCATGGTATAACCCCGTCCTTTTTTATCCATTCTTTGTGTGGATTCACGGGGTCACAAGAAGTGTGTCTTAGACACTTCCTATTGAGCTTATGCTCACCCCAT